AAGGGTTTGTGATGACGTAGAACTTCTTGGTTAAACTAGGATGGAAGACGTCATTGTCAAAGGGAGATGTGATAATCATGTGTGGATCATGATATTATATTACTCTGTTTGAGGGGAATTGTGAGAGATGTTCCAACAAAAATTTTAATATTGGTTGTACACGAAGATAGTCTTGAGTTTACAAGGAAATTGAAGTAATTCACTAAACATCTTAGCGTGAATAGATCTTCATTTTCCTATCTCATTATAACCCCTTTGGAAACATGAATCTAATCATTCTAAATTCCCCAAGATTTTATATCCAAACATGTTAAGACAACATAGTCAAAACTAACCATACATGTATGTTTAAGGAAAAAAGAAGAGATAAGCACATGGCCACTTCATTGTTACAGGGAAATTACATGTGACTGTGCATCCATTGTTCCAACTGGTCTCTCACCTGTTCAAATTAACATGTTGGGACACTGTGTTAGATTTTTTTGTAGAGCCCTACAGGAGAACTCCCCCAATGACCTACCCCAACTGGGGGTGGGGTAAGGGACCCCTACTGTTTTAGAATTCGTGTAGTGTTTTTAGCATTTCCCAATCAACTTTATCGAGCTAGTTAGTTGATTAATCAACAAATTTCCTGAAGTTATGGTTCCACCACCTAATATTAAACACTTTTAATGACACTAATCATGATGTTGTTAATTGAAGTCTTCGTCGAATTATCTTTTAAGATCATCCGAATCACAATTGTGGCCCACCTAAATGTATTTATCATGAAAATCAAACCAATGAAAGCTCATTTTTTTTGTCCATGTTAGTTTAAGATTATTAATTTGAGACATGATGCTATCATCATACAACCCCATTAACTTTCAAATCATGTTTGCTTCCTTTTACAACCATAGCTTTGGAAGGATAAAAAATAAAAAAAAAATAAAAAAATAAAAAGGGAAGAAAAAGACAACTATAATTTGACTTACTTTACAAGTTGTAATCCTTTTTAGATACGTTTATAGCATATTTAAGTTATAAAAACTACATGGGCATGACTCGATTTTATTCATATAAAACATAATCTCTTATAAAGATGACAAATTTGTTTACTATTTTTTTCATATAAATGCCCCTTCACTGGTAGGTCAAATACATTTTTTTCCTCAAATATTTGAATGAACAATTTTCATAAATAGGAGACGACGAGACTTGAACTTAAGGTATTTGTAGTTTAGATGTCATGAGAATCACATTATCTAAATACTCAGGTTATTAAAGAAGGAATATACGATCAAATTTATTTTTATTTTCAATTTAGATGAAACTTAGATTCAAGACGTCTATCTATTCTAAAATCATATTGAAGTTCCTTATATAAAACCTTTTAAATTAATTGATTCAAACATATAATACAACCAATAAATTTTATCACAAAGTTCTTTTCTTTAAACCCATATTCCAAATGTATCTTCCATGCATTCCAATTGACACTATCTACTTTATTTAAATACACAAAGTTGAAGTGTGGTGGAGCTTGCTCTAAGTCATGTGAAATGGCTCTCTCTTCATGTATATATAGTAAAATATATATTAACATCTTAATCAATCAATTAATTAGTCATTAACTTAATCAGAATCCTAAGCCCATAATACATTCTAAAATGTGTATAATATTTAAACCATCCTTGAATTCAAAATACAAATAATGGAAAGTCCCGTGAACTGAGAGGTGGAAGAAAGGGAAGTTAGTCAACCAATGAGACAAATTAAGCGTGGGAATTGAGTGGACATTTGACGGCTACATAAACACCACATAACATGTTAATTGAGAGAAACATCCGCATGTAACGGGAATTAATTAATTTTTCAACTCTGGACGAAAAATTTATTTTTTAGCATCGTAGACGAACTTTTGGGTAATTCTAGTTTAGCCATCGTTATTTCAAATTATAATTTTTTATATCATTTTCAACCAAATCTGTTCCTTCTTTTTCAACCACACATCCTCCCAAAAATTACTATTCAAAAAATTTTAAATTGAAATAACGAGGCCAAGAATTAATGTTGGACAAAATTTTCTTGATCTTGCCATCTATACTTGGCCTATTCGCATCAAATGATAGACCAATTTTTATTTTTTTGGGTGATTCTTTTTTCTTAGGTTGAACCCCATTTAAAACACAAGATTTTAGAAATAAACTATGTTAAGAGAAGATTATGTATTTGTAGTGTTTTGGTTGCTCATAATAGAATTTAGAATTGTTGATAAAATACGACAATAAGCCAATGGTTCGAGAGCCTGAGCAAATAACCAAGTACAAGCATTAGCTTTACCAATAGTTAAAAGACATCAATTGTAAGCCCAAAAAAAAAAAATAATAATAAAAATAAAAATGGAAAACTCTACAATAATTATCGAACTCGTTCAACGATACATGAAAGAGAAGCAATTTATCTAAATATTAAAATTCTATTTCCACCAAACATGCATGATGATTCATTCATCAATTGCAGTATATATGCATGTGAGTAGCTCATTAAAAAAAGAGTGAATCTATACATTTTTTGTACATCACAACATGATTGGATTTCTTTAAGAAAGAACCTCAGATAAACAATCCTTAAAAGTCTTGTAAGTACTAGCATCATAAATGAATGCAAGTTGATGAAATTTGTCTCCACATAAACCAAAAATTCAATAGAAGGAATTGTTTCAAATGAATTGTTTAAGGGTATCTCTTCATATAAAATTATCAGCTAATATATTTATGTTTATACAAATCTCAGGAACATATAACCTAAGACAGGGTGGTTATTTCTTGGTACGAACTTGTTTTATAGTTGCAAGTTAGCTTATACCCTTATATTTTATTGGGAGGTCTTTAGCCTGGAGAACATGCTACAAATTTTGGGCATTTTAGGTTGAAGGAAGATACAAACAAGCGATGTAAAATGAAACATTATAGAAACATGTGATATGGGTTATTATAATTTAGCTTAGTCCTGTCCTAAACAAGAGTATAATAAAAAAGACATACAGATTCCGTGGACAATAAATGGTAAACATAAAGACAAATGAACCAATGTAGCGATCAAATTGTAAACTAGAGAACCTTGTTTTCAGCCGTTCTTTTAAGTAGAAAGATCTTATTCATTTTGAACTAATTTCATTATAAAATTTTGTGCTACGGCCTGGGACAACCACCAGAGGAAAATGGTCAACTGAGGAACCATGTCTGTAAACAAAATGGGGTCAGAAAATGAGTCTTTCATTTCAAGATGCCCGCAAGCCCCGACTCAAAGTAAGAAAGAAAAAAAGCCCTAGGGAAATAGATAGTCAAGTATTAATTTATTTTACCAATTCACCTTATCATAGTAGGTTAAAGATTATTTCTTTTACAACTGAAGTCGAGGGTTCAATGATTGATATCTCCCTCCCATCCATGGGCGGAGCCATGTGAGGACGAGTGCGGGCATAATTTTTAGGCCCAAAACAAATTTTTTTTTTTTTTTTTAAAGCAATATCCCACGATTTTACTTGATTTTAGGTATAAGTTGATTTGGACTTCGCTTATCAAAATATGAAAACTTGCAAGGAACACATTTAATTATAAACTGTCATTTTTAGATTTTTTTTTTTATAGTTTTATCATCATTAAATTTATGATCAAAATTCAATGTTCGACGTGGGTTAAATTATGCCTGCACTGAACAAATTACCTGGCTCCGTCCCTGCAGTCCCATCACTAAATTTTTTTTTGGTTCAGATATACTTTTTTCTATTGAATGCAAACAAGAAGAATATGATAACCAGAAACATATGGTGACACCTGAGCTTCAAACATCATAGTTTAGTAGTTTACATTCAAGTTAGCATCAACAGACAAGCAAACCAAAGCATAACTAGCAACCAATTTGCAACACCTTTAGGATTTAATAAGTATAAAGCTAGTTATACCAAAGAAACATAATAAAGGTAGTTGAACATCTAGTCAGTCTCCATTAATCTCAACATTAAACAAAAATATTTGTCCTAATCTCATAAAAGGCAAGTAAACAACATAGCTATTGTACGTCAAAGTATAAAGTAAACTAGAACCTTCTCTAAAGAAGACGGACAACAAGTATATTCGAAAACAACTTGGAAGAGTTCCAAGAAACGACCTTACCTGCATATATCATAATCATGTTTACATGTTCTGTAAAATGTGCACAATATTTTGACACCACTTATCCCCTTGAAGATTATACCCGTGGAATAAAATTTTAGCTACAAATGCCCAAAAAGAGAAAAAATTACTTTTACAACAAAACCTTTTTTTTGATAGGTAAACTTTTACAACAAAACCTCAACGAAGTTTTATTGAATTCCATTTGGTTCTATAAGCTATTCCAACTGGTACAAGAAATGATTTCTGATAACATAAACCCTTATGTTCAACATTTTGCAGTATAGAATATGACAAATTGCAAGGAACAGAAAAATACTACACCCAAATGGGAGGAACATTGATCGTCATAATACGAGGCGAGCTATGTACAGACACAAATCCACCACACACAAAAGCTCGTAGTCGCATGCAAGAATGAATTTCAAACCTGGAGAGTACACATAATTTTTCTACTACTCACTTTTTGTCTCATCATTTCAGGTTAAAACTGAACCATTTCTTCTTTGTAGATTTGCCCTTTGAATGTGATCTGCCTTCTTCCACCAGACTCTTAGACTTCAAATCTTCACCACGAGATATGCTGCTACTTCCATTACCGAAAGGCTTACTCCCACTAGCATTTGGAACTGACCTTGCAACAGTGAAAGAAGAATGGATATTATTTCGCCTTTTTAGCAGCTCATCGACCTGTTCGAGGAAAGCACAAAATGATAAACAAAGGAGTAAATACCAAAGGCAAAGGCTGCCTAGAAACTGTTAACGAGTCAGCAAGTTATCTATGAACAATGGCTTGATAAAAATGGATACAAACATTACAGAAAGAGCTAAGCACAGAAAGATAGAAAATGAATCGGAGAGACATCACTCACATCAGAAAATGCAAATCTTATTCTGGACAATGAATAAAACTGCAAAATCTGAAATTTCAACTTCAAGATGAAAAAAGGCTAGGACATAAATTTGCTTTCTGTTATTTAAAATAGGACTTTTCACACCTCTGGATCAGTATTTGTGCATTGATTAGAGGGAAAATGAGTTACAGAGAAAGATAGAGAATAGCATCAATGCTAGGATATTAAGTTGACGGGAAACATACAAAAGTATAAAGGATTCTCAGGAAGCGAACTTACGGACTGCTTGGCCTGGACGTATCTATTAATTACTTCTTGGTAGCGTGACAATGCCTAAAAAATTCAGGCACAAATAAGTGTAATACAGATAACCTGAACAGAACATCCATAACAAATATTATTGGAAAAGGAAGACTACAGTTCTATATTCTGTCTCGAATTGGCATAGCTCATTTCTCTTCCTCCAAATCTGAGCCTCAATACCCCGAAGCTTATGAGTTGTACCCTCATATGACTTTGCACAGAGAGCCTCAATTGTATAGACAGCAGGTTTGAAGAAGTTATCACCTACAGGTACCCGACCAAAGACAAGCCTTTAAGAAATTCTTTTCTCTTCTCATGCAATTAATAGTTGTAAGAAGCAATACGTATGTAATTCAAATTAATAAACATGTAGTATAAGCAGTTCAAACCATAAACTGCGAATATGTGAGCACCAGTTTTCAGTTGCAAAACCTCACAAGGTTGAAGGCCTTCCAATCGTTTGAAGAAAGTGGCTTTCGTGTCCTTAGCCATTGCCAACTTCCCACAAACAAGTGAGTAGTTCAGCAAACATATCAATTAAGCCTCTTCAGGGGAAAAAAGAAGAAGGTTAAGTGATGTACAGCATTTACCATTGAATCCATTTTGTACACTTGAAAATGCAAGAAATACATTCCAGCCGACGTGACTTTGCCTGTCTTCTCACTGTCTTCCTGTATACATTGACAGCATTACGAGTTTGCAAGATGAGGTATATTGATCGATTACATAGTAGAAGAAGCATTACATGAGGTGTCAAGTGGAATGCAAAATGATAAAGTATATAGAACTTAGAAAAATAGCTCATAAATATAGTTACACGGTTAAAGTTTCCCAGAGTTGAAGGAACATGTGATCAAGTTCAACTCTCAGCATATCCAACCTCACGAAGCTTATGTCCAATTCAGCTTGATATCTGACATAATTAGTTTTCTCAACAGTCTAACAGACACTAACGCAAATCAAAGTGATGAGGACGATCAAATTACTCTTCCTTCCAAGTGACGATCAGCTGATGCAGCTTGAAGGCTGATGGATTACCATCGTAATAGTGGGCTGACAAACTATTTGGGCTGTTGGGTTAGGAATAATGAACCAACTTGATAAAACACTTATTGTGTTAATATAAATGGGTTGCTACAATTCTATTGACTGGATAACACTCGTGATCATGTCTCAGGCTGATGTACAGTACCTGAGACTTTTTTACAGTTCAAGAGTTTTCAGAACAATAGTTCACCTTTTTTTGGGATGCACAGTAATGTGTAAGTAAGTTTTTTTTCCTTCTGAAGAAAAATATCAAAGAGTTTGTCAGTTAAAAGAACAGGCTACAATACTAAATTGGCATAAAATAATAAAGAGAACTTAGAATAGAGAAAGGGAGAAGAAAGAAGAAATGAAGAGACATTAAGAGTGAAGAAGATTTGGGAATTAACAATATGTATGGCTATGCATGAACATGAATGTACAATGTCCAACAGAACAGAATCAAAATATGTGGCATATATAGCTTTGAACTCCAAACAGGCATCATGAGAATGAGCATTGCTTATCGTCGACCAAAGAGTAAAAAGAAGAAAAAGTTTGGACTACTTCAAGTATAGAAAATAATTATACAAACAAATTATGGAGCATGAGTGACTCAATTCTTTTGACTAATTGCAATGTGGAATCAAGACATCATTTCCATTTTTTTGTATAGAAGGTCTCTTTGACGAAAATGTGACAAGCGAAAGAAATCATAAGACCATTGAGCAATCTAAACTGAAATGATAAAGATAAATTACCTGCAAGACCTGCCCATACCCCTCATTTGCCCCTTGTTCGAAGTACACGAGCTGACGATCAAGTGTATTACAACCTTTAGTACCCAGCTTTTATTTACATGTGTAGGCATGCTATAGGAAAGATGAAAGAAGAATCTTTCTCCATAACAAGAAGCACAAAATTTTATCTCAAAAATCATAGCAAATGCACCTTAAACTTGCTTTGCACAGAGGACGTAACTCTGACTACAATCCCTGCCTCTGCTTGCTCCTCATTAATTATTACACCAAAAAAGTGAGCAGATTGCTTTTCTACCTGTTGACGAAGATAATTCAACCCAAAAAGGCAGGACAACAAGTAAGCTTTCTTCCTGTTCAAATGATTATTTACCTTTCCACTGACTGAAGTTCCAACTGGAAGAGGTCTGACCCTGACAGTTCCACTCAAAGCCTCTTTGAGAACATTAGTAGAAATTGTGGTCTTAATGGGCACACCCAACTTGCTACCAAACAAATTTTTAAATAAAGAACTAAGAATTTCATCAATACTAGAAAATTCTAATTTTGTAACGCTAAAAACCTGAATAAAGCCACAAGCATCGTGTTGACAGTTCCAAGGCTGGATAAATCAATCTCCATATCCATTCCTTCGACATCAAGGGCCTTATTATTTGTTAAAGAAAAATATCAAACCAATTAGAAGATACCCTATATAAATTAGTCAAAAGGGTAAAATTATTAGAAACACTAAAAGACAAGATTGGATTGGATTGGATTCATAAAAAATAGATTTACATGGGGTCAAAAAAAATCAAGTACACACAATGTAAGGATCAGTACATCATGTGAGGAAGCCATGCCCATCTACTGGAATGTGTATTTCTATCTATCTGGTGAAAAGTGTGGAAGTATGTACCTAGCAAAAGATATAGTTGGATCGGTACAGAAAGAGCGTGCGCCCTCCCCCTTTCTTCTCATCAAATTGAAGGAACAAACAAGCCCTTATATATTATTAGTTACTTAAAATAAAATCATAGATACACAGTAAGAGTCATTAGGATTTTATTAGTAAGAGGAAGTTTTTTCCTCATCTCTCTCCCCAAAACAACAGCTGGAAAATAATAGCTAATGGTGTATAAGTGAGAGAAGAGAATACCTGAAATCCTGCACTATCATATTGCCTCCTTTTCTCTGGATCTGATAAAATGCTATATGAACATGCAACCTCCTTGAACAGTTCTGAAGCCTCAGGATTGCAAGCATTCTTGTCTGGATGATACCTGCCAATCATTTGAATTATTGATCACTAAATCAACCAAAAAAATCTCTTCAAAGACATTAATACATGCTATCTCTCTCTCTCTCTCTCTCTCTCCCCCCCCCCCTCCTGTTTGGTGGAGGTGTCCATTACGGCGGGACATGAAGTTCTTAAACACTGTTATTATAACAATGGTATAAATGAAATTTTCCAATTATCGTACATTGACAAATGAATATCTGATTTAAAGTCCTAATATGGCAGACCCAAATTGCAAAAGAACGTCTTGAAATCCTAGTATGGCAACCCATATTTTTTGTCCCTTCCATGTTCATGCATTCATAGTCCATAAGGACCATAACTAGTCCTTCATAAAAAGAGGTCCATCATTTGCTCATTATTAGCAACATCAGCTGCCACTGAACTAATGTGAAAGCCCAAATAGCCCCAAGAATTTCACATTACTATTTAGCTTATCAGAGGACAATTGAGTTCAAAACCAAATTCATTTCAACATTAACTCTTGCACTATAAAATTAAAAAGTTCTTTTGCTGCCTGTAAATTCATCATAAGCAAAAATATAGCCCCCAACCTATTTCCAACACTCACTCATTAAGTTGACACTCACAAACATCAAAAACCCAATAACTTGGTTATATAATAAACTATAAAAACCAAATTCACCAACCCTCGTTCATATACATTGTGGAACTTCCATACAAGGCAATTACAAGGGGGGAAAATGAATTTAACATATTAAAATTGAAAAAAAAAATTAATAAAAATGAAAATTTGGAACCTTACTTGAGAGCAAGTTTTCTGTAAGCAGACTTGATTTCCTGATCAGAAGAATCCCTAGACACACACAACATCTCATATGGATCCCTACGCACCACTGGAGCCGATGGCCCCTTCTTTTTCGAACCCCCCATTCTTTTTGTCTAGAAATTAACCCTTATCTTTATCTTCTCTCTTTCTATGAGGAAACTATTTCCATTTTTCTCATTTTACATCCAATCAATATGAACAGCATTTTTCACCCAAAAGCTCACAATTATTTAAATACCGCATACAGAGAAACCTTTTGTCTGCAAATCTGCAAGCAAAGCACAATTGGAACAAACAAAACTTATTCATCAAAAGACCAAAAAATATTTGAATAAACGAGCTAGATTTTGAGGGGCTCAATTCAATGCATTGGAAAGCTTCAAATTTCCCTCGGGATCAATGCAAAACGAGCAAATTGTCGAATTATAAGAATAATTTTATCGGATTTAAATAAAAATATTATTTTGGCTTATCTAAAATACTAGAGTCCCGTTTGTTTGCCATTATTATTTGACTATAAAAATAAAAAATATTACCGTTATTCATCGCATCAAACCCGCATATTTAAATTTCTCTCTCTTGTGTGGATCTCGTAACGATTATAAGGCAATGAACTACCCGTTCCAAGCCATTGATCGCAAAAGACAGAGCAAGAAGGGCTAAAATTGAAAGATCTTAAGGCAATGAA